TATGGACATCCACAACTGGTCAACAGAATGTAAACCACAGTTGCTCTTCAAGGCATTAGACGACATTAGAAATTGCCTTATGAGAAGCTTAAAATGCTTATTTCTGAAGTATTTACAGCATGTTAATACTGATGCTGTAACGGTAACCAACCATTGCAAAAAATACTGGTAAAACCTGACAAATTCTTAATTCTTCTAACTAGAAAATCTTTGTTCTCTCCTCATATATTTCACCTAAAGAAAGCCTTCTCATCTCTTCAGAGAGTGTTAACTGATAAACTGCTTTTTGATTTATCTCATGCCTTGTTTAGGAGGTCAAAAACTGGATGAATTGTTCTGGTGAGCCATGTATGTTCATCTGGCAGCTGGCTGGCCTGACAAATAATCTGCCATGAGACAATTCAGATCTGAATTTCCAGACCTTAATTGCTCCATGGTAAACTGCCCAGACTGCTCCTACCCTGCAGCAAAGTAGTTTTACCCCACTTTCATTTAATCACATGTTATTCATTCAAACTGAATGAAAGAGCAGTATCCATTTGCTGCACGATATATATGCACACAGACAGTTACGGCTTAGCTGTCCAGTCTGTGCAAATTCATACTTCAGCTTATCTCCCAATAGTGTGTTTACAACACTATATCCTAGAGATGGCCCATGGAATTTACAATGAATGGGCAAGCCAAAGGATCCATTAACCTTGTGCAAGACTAGAACAATATTCCCCCTTTCTACTGGGCGCCAAAAGCTTTTCTGTTATGCCTTTGATACAGCACTCCCATTACTCATTTACCCTTCTCTAGTTTTTAACCAGAGACACAAAACAGAATTTATTGTTTTTCTCTAAGCAAAGCAATCTCAAACTGTCCCTGGATGACTCCCTTGAATAAGGATATGACTCACGTTTCATTTGTTTCCTGTCCTGGTGTGCTCTTTTTTTGACATATCTACAAATTTAGTGATGCCTTAAGGAAACAAACAGGTCAAAGCTGGAATTTCTCAAAATTCATTTTATTTGGTGATAAATAAAAAGTCCAGTGAAGTATGGCCTCTGTAAGACTGCAAGATCTGTTAAATCTACAAAATGTATAGCCTTGTGAGTAAGGCTCTGCCAAGTTCTTCATATCTGCTAATCACTAGTCAAATCTTTGCTACAGCAAAAGCAGCAGCCTGAGACTAGCATGAACAAGCTTAGGGAAACACAGCTCCCTGTAGCCTTACAGGTCCTTACATCATGGCACTGACCTTTTCAATCATTCTTTCTTTCCTTATATGCATATATAATGCAATCAATTACTGGGAAAGCTAGATTTCAAGATTTCCATGGTACCCCAGCATTCATGATTCAGGCTGACATTATTATTCTTACTCGATGGATGCTACTTTGCTTCCTATCACTTTGTTCTCCTTTCAATCTCTTTTAAAAGTACATTACGAAGCTAGAACCTCTTGGCAGCTTCTGATGAATGTCTTAATGAACATAAAATTGAAATGTGAGAGAAAGTAATTGGGAAGTAAAAACTGTCATGGTACAATGAGTAATGAATATTCACTGTATTTATAAACTGTGTGTAATACTAGGCTATATAGCCCATAAAGTTGCTTTTTAAGAATCTGAAATTTAAGATCTTTATCAAAAGATTGTCAAACACTTAAACGGAGTTAGGCCACAGGTAATGCAGAGATCACCAAGACAGAAAAAAAATAAAATAAAAAAATGCTTAACTGTTGTTTACAGAGAAGTGTTTGTATTTCACCTTTTTTTGGCCTCTCTTTCAAGAGACTTGTTGATACACTACACACTTTTACATGCTTTTGTTGATATACTACATAATTTTATACTGCACACATACACATATTCCCTGCTGAGAGCGTGCTTGCTTACTGTACTAAGCAATTCAAGCAATGAGAAAAAAATTACATTTTCCCTAATAACTTCTTTTCAAGATGATTTAGCACAATGGAAAGCTTTCTCTTAACTATAGTTATGGGACTGAAAGACAATATTTATTATTACCTTATTAATACTTAATTTATTATTAATATTAATGAATAGTAATACTTATTAATACTTATTATTATTAGCTTAGTAGCACTAAGAGAAAATTATAAAGGTACTGTAAAAATAAAAAGCTCAAGCAACAGAAGAAACCTGAGAAGTCGCTATTTGGAAGCAATAGTAGTTACCTTGTTTTCATTTAAACATATGAAAAATGCTATCTGAGAAACAGATATTTACTACTGCTTGTGGGAGTGAAGGTACATGCCTAAAAAGAATTTACATATTTTATTACCATAAATGACAAAAACAAATTATAACATTGTCCAGTAACTCGTAGATGAGAAAACTTAAGGAAGGAAGTATGTGTACAGGTATGTCTCAGGGTTTAACTGGTACCACTCAGAATGTATCTGAAAAGGGCATTGTGAACACTGAGAACGGAAAGTATCTTTGACATGATGGTATTTGAAAGGATCATGATGATGTATGAATCTGGTGTTTGCTGAAGCTTATTTGGGATAACTGAAATTCAGTTAATATCTTGGTATCTTAAAGTTATTTAAGCAATAGAAATAATTTTTCTTTCAAATGTGTATAAATATGCTGTATTTTGACATAATGAAAATACTGAGGTAATTTAAAATTTAGACTCCAAAAGAGGTATGTTTCTTTTGATAGACTCAGCAGACATTTCCAGACAAAGAACAGAGTAAGTGAACTTTGAGAAATGTTCTGTTATACGTACGCACATATAGCTGCATTTGGGGAAGGGATACAAATACTTCCCTTCTGTAACTGGAATAGAAGTTTTAAGTGAGAGCAAAATAAGAATGCCATGCCTTCTCCTTCCAAATCTCAGCAAATTTGTCCGCAAGGCTGCTTCAAATCCTATGGCAGGAAGTACAAAAAGCCACCTAACAAATTCTTGATCTGGGAGATTTCTTGGTATCAAATTTCATGCCATCAGGTATTTGTGTTTTCTCTCCAGTACTCTAGCCATTTCTTTATTTCAGAGGTTTGGCAGCTTTGAAATGCTTTCACTCCAAATGCCTTAATTCCCTCTTACTTCTATTATCTATCAAGCTTTTCTTTGACAGGGTCCCTGTTTTTCACATAGCTAAGCTTATGACTTCTTAACCCATGACTCATAAGATGAACTACTGCTATAAATTTCTCTTTAAAACTACCTGAAAAGAGGATGGAAAGACAAGGTGGCTAGTCTCTTTTCCCAAGTAACAAGTGTTAGTACAGGAGAGAGGACAAGTAACAAGTGATAATGAACTTAAGCTGTGTCAAAGAAGGTTTAGACTGGGTATTAGAAAAATTTCTTCACTGAGAGAGTGATCAGGCATTGGAATAGGCTTCCCAGGGAAGTGGTGGAACAACCGTCCCTGAAAGTGTTAAAAACCCGTGTAATTGAGGCCGTCAGTGACATGGTTTAGTGGTGGACTTGGCAGTCACGGTGTAAAGGTTGGACTTAATGACCTTAAAAGTAATTTCCAACCTAGTTGATCCTATGAAAATTGGAATTCATCAGCTGATGGAAGAATGAAATAAAAAAAGGTGACAGGTATCAGTAGTGAGGATAGACCACTAATGTAAATCCACGGGAGAGGCTGTATTGAGTTAGTTTCCAACAGTGAAAAGGTACATATTGATACTATTTTAAAGCTAGTAAACTTTTACTACTGGAAATAATTCTGATGAGCTTTGCCTACAGTCTCAATAGCCATGTTCAAGACAGATGAATTTATAAAAGGATGTGTACAGAGTGCAAGGCTGATACGGGGAATAGAGATTCTAATCTGCGTGAGACGACCAGCCCTCACCTTACGTGCTAAACAGAGTGCTTGAGCCCTCCCAACCCCTAAACACATATTGCTCTCTACAACCAAATACTTGGAAATAAAATAAAAACAAGTATTCTTTACGCTGACAATAACGATTTATTAAGAGCTTACATACAGTGGTCATTTATGCTAAAAATTGAAGGAAATTGTGAATTGCTAGAAAATGTTGAGGAATGTTGTTCGATTTTGCAGGTCATGACATTAGCCTGCATCCACCATATAGGTACATTTAAGAATAAACAGATCTGTGTTTCAAACAAGGATGTGTAGAAGGTGACAGTGAGTGAAAATGAATGTCAAAGCTATAATCTATATTAGCATACAACTGCAGGCAAGTCCTTAAAAAGTAGTGGTGAGATATGACTCAACGGATTTGACAGGTTAAAGGACAGACTTACAAACACGTTAAATTGGCAAACCGAACTCCATTTTATCTATCCAATCTTAAGCTAAGGAACACTGCAGTACACAAAAATATTAACCTCATGAAAAGACACCAGAAAACCAAAGCAAAACCCATTTTGGTTCTTTCTATAGCAACTTTCTGAAGCATGTGGCAGGTGAAAATGGGTTGCAGTGATGGCACAGGTGACATAGGCTTAATTCTATGATTTCTTGAGTATGAGACTAATGTTCCATAGAGCACCACAGGCAGAACACGGAAAGATTCCCTCATATATTAAGTATGTGTAATGATACAGCATTCTCTAGAATTCAGGCCTTACCCAACCAAGACTATCAAGAATTCGCTGGGACAGTAAAAAAGCTAAGGATCTTTCCCCTAATAAACACATTATAGAAATAACTCAGGTTTCTGCTGGTTTACGTTCTCTGAAGTTTGCCTTTGGCACTGACCTGACAAAGTCATTAATTTGAGTCAAAGTTGCACGCTTGATACTGTCTTTTTGAAACTCAACTGTTTTTACACAAAGCAACAGTCATCAAATGATTAAAAAGTGAAAACAAATTCTCCTTTAGCAATGTACACTTTTCATGACTTATACCAGACTATTGTTTCTGTACAAATGAAACATTCAAACTGAAGTCAACTTTTTAACTTAACACAGAACCTTTTCACAGCAATAAAATTAAACAAAACAAAACAAAAAACAAACCAGACACAGAAAAAACCCCAATCTACAATTACCTGGTTGGTAGAAATTTGGTGAAAGTTCTCTGGCAACTGCTCTTGCAATATCACATTCCTGGCGAGCAGCCTGAGCAGCCTGATCTGCAGCGTCAGCTTTAGCTCTTGCATGTGCAGTTCTGTACAGAGCAAAAAACAGTTTAGATGCAGAGAAGCCTTTTATGAGTTCCATCAATAACATGCAAGCAAAGGACTATTGTCCTCAGCTACCACACAATATATGGGATAGTGCACTCTTATGCTCACTTGCTGTAAGTAACTGCAAATCAGTTAAAGTATTTTGGAATTAACACATTATTCCTCTCAGTCCTTCAGTTCTGCTCATCCTTGTATCAAATTTAATTGCAGGTACAAAATTTATAGCCCAAGCTTAAAATTAAGATTTCTAAATAGAAGTAAACAGTATGTGACCAAAACTCGGGATTATGACTTTAATACACGTTACCAGAATGTGCATAGAAGTGTACAGAAGGTTGGACTGGGCCACTACACTGACTTCTGAAGAGGGATCTGGGAAACCAGGATACACAGTGGTCAAGAGGACTGTGGGATGCATTTCCACAGCATTTTCAGCATGTCTAAGTTAACGCTCATTGCTGGGTGCCATCTAAAATTTTTTGAAGGGCAAACCTGAGGTATGTTGGCCTAAAAAATAAGAGAAAACTTCCCACAATCGGACCATGTTGGAAAGGAATGGGATGGAAAATGTATTTGATGCTTCAATAAGCACTTGTATAAATAGAGAATTAACAGTTTTAAATGCTTGTTAACTCACTGAATTTCAAATCCAAAACCATCTGAAAAAGACAACAGTTCGAATACTTTTGTAAAGTAATCTGCCCTTTGCTTCCACTTTCATCCTTCTACTAGTTCTTAAAAAGTCTTAAGAACAGCTTGTGCAAGTGCCTCTGATTCCAGACTGTGCAAATTGATAGTTGTGTGACTGCACGACTGCATCACAGTTTGTCCCATCTTCCCTCCCCACTTCCTTTTTTAACAGTCATCTGTTTAAAAATTCCTGATGGCAGGGATCTCTCTGTGCTTCCACAGCATTAACACATAGCCTAGAGCTATAAACTGGTTCATTAGAATGGAGGGGAAGCTAGGCATGGCAAACTGGCAGAGTTTTTGCCAGCTTCCAGAGATATTAACTTTTCTAAACCAGAAATATTGAATTTCATGATATCAGGAGTTTTGTCATAACATTCTAGTAGAAAACTGACATTTAAGTAAGATGAAAAATGGGTAAGAGGACAACAGCAGCAGCAACTTCGAGCCCATGTGCCTGATGATACTAACCAACAGCAATCAAATGAATGAAAACTTTCAACAACTTCACTGTAAAAATTCAGTGTTATTTTCAAGGAATACAGAAGAGTTCTATGTGGTTCAGATGAAGCAAGAATTAAATGTTAGCATTAACCAGAATGAGCACCAGAAGATTAACAGTACAGCAGACTTTGCATTTCTAAAAGGATGTTTAATCCCGAAGGGTACTAGTATAAACACAGACATAAAAAACCCCCACATAGGCAGTTTCATCTGTGGTGCCTGGAGAAGATTTATTTAAGTTACATCCTCCCTAAAATGTGTGTGGGGATAAATGTTGAATGTTATTTCAAAGCTTAGCTTGTCATAATTTACTGGATAAGTATCTGCTCATGCTGCCTTCTCACAGGTCCCTGAAAAAAACACCCAAATCAGCAAATAAGCAGTAACACCTTAAACTTGTACTTGGGGTGGAGAAAAGAAGCTGTTAATGAAAACAAACACACCGTATTACCCCATATGTGATCTGTGCAGTTCATGAATGGTTGTACGGTATGTGCTTGCTTAGTAACAGCAATCAAACCCGCTCTTTCTCTATAATCATTATTTTCAATTAGATGAGCTATTCTTAGCTCCTGAATAATTATGTCTATGTAGCATAAACTTAATGAAGCAATCCTAGCACTGGGACAGTGTTTTGTGAGATAATAATGTAGTCTGCACACAGACTAGACACTGATCATCCTTTTGTGATGACAGAACAATCAGACTATGCCCATATAAAAATACTCAAATACTATTGCCCCCACTACAATAGACATTTTAAAAGCTAATATATTAAATGACCAGCATCAGGAAAACATTCTGCCAGGATAGTACAGTTCTTTATTGATGCCTGTGAACTTCTGCATTATTATATCCAAGAAGCAAATCACGCATCCTGTTCAAACATACAGTATCAATTAGTTAAGGAATTAAATGATGACATAAGTAAATAAGCTAGTGAAACTGTGCAAAGTACGTCACAGTAGGAAGAAGCCAATGAAACAGAAGGTAAATGAGCACTGCTTTCCTTCACCACCTTAAATCACACCTATTTTTTCAGCTCAAACTTCCTGCTATTCTGCCCCTTTTGTAAGCAGAGTCAGGAGTTCCAGCACACCAGAAAGGGAGGAACTGTTCAGACACAAACGTTGCCAAGGAATGTCTCACTGACACACTTGAGCAGAGCCTCGGTGCTGCACTGTCCCAAGAGATGACACAGCACAACGAATTAAATAGGCCCAGGAGGGTAAAGCACATCTGAGCAGGCCTTTGACCAGTGAAAGAGAAGTGTGTACGTGGCTGTGCTGAGACACTTCCCTGATGGCTTCCTCAGCAAGAATGACTGACAACATATGGCAAATGTGAAAAGAACATGAGCACTGTGCTTCACCTGTGAACACACGCATTAGCTGCATTATTTTCTATTATGGTTTTTGGATGTTTTACTGATAACTTCATCAATATGTACTTTCTTATCTCAATTTGAAACTGCATGTTCAGAAATCTCTTTCACTTCCTGAACACCTACTTACTAAGTGTCAGAGTCAAATAATTTTTTGTTGCTATTTAATTTCCTGCATTTTGTTTTGTTTTTAATTCTGACTTCCACACTTGATTTGTCTGCATGTTTTCCAAATTACCTGCTGACAGTGCTGCTTGGCACTGCATTTTGTTTGTAATTGTTTCATTTTGCCTTGCACAGATCCCCACACTATTAGAATGCTATTATCAAAGACTGGAGAAAAATACGTTAGTTTTGAATAGTTTATAAAGAAAGCTAATGAATTTGAAAGGGAGAGCTGTGAACAGGCAGGCCTTTGTAAAGATTCAATCTCAGCAACTGTAATACACAATACACATCACTGACTTTTGAACTGCCATGTATCTTTACCTGTGTATTTACTAAAAAATATCATCCTACCATTAATATTCCATGTGATGTCTCAAACAGATGCTTGAAAGCTTTCAAACCAATATAAAATGAAAGTATTTAAACCAAAACAAATTTGTATTTAGAGGAACAATCTACTACCTAGGTAATGAGTCCATAAGGGTGGTAAATGCAATCAAGACAGGGACAAAATTAAGCTGCATCTTGAGATATGGCAAAAATCAAAGTGTACTTGCATTAAAGATGAACCTACAGCTATAAGCTCATACAGAGTTTTGGTACCTGGTGACACCATGTCATGTTCCTATATCTACCAATCTCTGTTGCCAATGAACAAGGGCTGGAGGACCAATGGCTGAGTAACTTTGCTGTTAGAAATTTCATTCAGACTCATAAGGGGAGGTCTGGTTTTGAAAGAAGCCTGAACTTTCTAGCCTGGGGGACAACCAATTCCAATATTGATAACCTTTCTTGTCTGTGTTTGATTGGGTAGGTAAACATATACATATCACAGAATCACTGAAGATCACTCAGTTCTAACCCTCCTGCCATGGGCAGGGACATATTCCACTAGACCAGGCTGCTTAAAGCCCCATCCAGCCTGGCCTTCAACACTACCAGGGATGGAGCATTCACAGCTCCTCTGGGCAACCTGTGCCAGTGCCTCACCACTCTCACAGTAAAGAAATTCTTCCTAATGTCTAATCTAAATCCCCCCTCTGTCAGTTTTAAAGCCATTCTCGCTTTTCCTTTCACTACATCATCTTAGCTATACTCATGAGATTCTGATCAGTGAGGGGTTTCTTATAAGCAGTCTCCCCTTCCAGCAATACTACAATCAGATTTCTATCTACTTCTGTCTGAAAAGTGACTTGAAGGAGGAGTACTGAGGACTGAAGAGCTTAAACATCTATCTAGCATTCTGCAGCAACAGTGCTTATATATAATGCCATGTGTCTGGTATGCATTATGCAATGTTTACCTAAAATTAAACTCCATTTAGAACTGCCCATCACCCTCCAGATTAGTTTGTATTTCCATGGCATCCTTCAAAGGCACTTGTAATACTACCTGGTTCAGAGTCGAGTAAAAATGTAAGCAATATACGCTTACTTTGTTTCATTTTACAGCTTTTATTAAACACAGTGTTTCCAGCATAAAGCTTTCCAGGAGCTTGCTTTCTGTTTCTTCAAATGATAGAAATAATTCTGTTTTCTCTTTGTCAAATACATGAAACATGATTATGCTTCTACTAAATTATCCTTAATAATCTTAACACATACTTATTAACAGATTTCCATATAGTAAAAAAAGCAGTAAAGGCTAAACCTACATGAAGTTCTCAGAGATACATTTCATTAATGAAAGTTATCAGGTTTGTCTGAGTAACATTACATACTGTGGTCACTACCCATATCATCCTTTTTGAAACTGTAATTATCTAAAAAAAAAAAGATTTCCTATTTTCCTAATTCTAAACTACAGTGATTTTTCTAGAAAGCAAAGAATACTCTGTTGCTTTGTTTCAGGTATGAAACTACCCAACATTTTTACATTTCCTTCTGTCTACTGGAGGCTCAATGCTGCAAAACTGAGCTCTGATAAATTGCTACAGAAAACAATAGCATTTCCAGGAAAAGATGAGCTGGAGATGAAAACTTTAAGGGATGATTCTTTTGGCAATTCAATTTTCTCCTTGTCCCCATTTTATTTCCATATTCTTCTGATACATATCAGTAATGAATGCTAGAGAATTATCTAGCATCTATGAATTTTTTAACAGTGCAAGAGACTGCCATTTAACAAGTATGCCAGTCATCCTTCTCAGCTTCTTTCAGTGATAATAGTGGCTGAAAAACAATATTCTCTATGCTAGGGTTAAAAATACGTATGTTCACAGCTATGTAGAGCTAG